TATGAAACATTGCACTGCAGCTCTATATGTTTAGGGAATATGGATACTTGTTGGCATAGTTTTTTTTTTTTTTTTTTACTTTTACTTTTACATATATCACTGTACCTTCTATAGATGTCACCTGAAACACTATCTTATCTCATCTCACCTATTCCCAGAAAGAAATTAGTTAATGTTGAATGAGTGCAAATGAAATTAAACTGGATTGGTTTGGAGTTTAAAGCATGACTGCATCTTAGCAAACGCTTGTGTTACTCTCAAAGATCTGCTCCATGTGACAGTGGTTTATTATTCCCTCTGGAATTTGTTGGTTACTGATAGACTGGCCACTCACCTTTGACCTTCTTTAATTTGATCTGGTCCCTAGGGCTGGACAAGGGGGTTGGCGGGAGAGGAAGGACGCCGCTGTTAAGTGAAATCAATCAACACCCTGCATCACAGCTCACCATCTCGTCTTTAATGTGTGAAGTCTAAATAATTCTTTGACACCTGGCACTCCAGAGTATTTTTATTTTCTTAATTAGGAAAAGTTTGTCTTTGCATTATTTTTGATGATATACTCTGATACAACATAAAAGCTATCAGACAAATATGTGGGACAAACATCATGTTAATGTAGGGAACATTAAAATATGTCCATGTAAATAATAATCTGAGACTAAAACACATCATAATATCCATTCTGCAATGTGGACTTTTGATATTTCAAATGCAGTAATGTAGTTCATTTGAATACATTTTAATGATAATTATAGAATTTTTTTCAATTCGTTCAAGAAACCTTTTGAATTCCAAGGAAAAAAAAAATAGGAGTTTCTATCATCCATCAGATATAATCGCTCTAATTGTTTTTCTTCTTGATAAATTTGAACATTTTGTTTAAAATACTAAAGAACAAGAAGTTGCTATGCTGACACTGTTTTTGATGTCCTGGATTTATATTTTTCTCTTCTGAAACCCGGGTTTTCAACAGTAGATGTGCTGTAAAATAGGGGGAAGGCTCGTTAAAAAGTAGAAAAGATATTTTTAAATAAAGGATCATGTGCTGTTCAGTTGGTGTTGGTATTTGTTCATCCTTAAAATTGAATTTCACATGTGGTTTTCACGCCCTTCTACTTTAGGCAATTCAGCACATGAACCATCATAAGACCAATAATGAGCCAACTATGAAAGCAAGCAAATATGTATGGTTTGCTTAACGGTCTTTTGCTTGAACTTTTTCAGAAAATCCAGCCACTGTACATTAATTGACAGTTGGTCACCTTATGACACAAACTGCTGTGGGCATACAGAAATGCACAAACACTATGGAATCAGTGAAGAAGCTGCAGTTCTGTTGGTTGTCACCACATAGTCCACTTTACAACTTCGTACTTACTCAACTTTATTGGATTAAAGATGCAGCTGCAGCTACTGTTATCTAAGCTGGTCATTTCACATGTAGAAGCAATGTATGAAGAAAATGTTTCAGCCCTGAACTGAGAATGCTGTGTGAAAGGGATTACATTTGCATTGTTTATTTTTATCTCTGAAATGTGCCCCAACATCAGAGATGTATCAGGATGAACCAGGTTTTTCAGCTGAGCTGGACATGTGGTCCCTGCTGTATTTAATAAGTCTGTACATAGATTTCAGAGGTGATATGAGGTATTTGTTTCTTTTTTAGGTGCATATTCTGTAACTCCAAACTGAAGATTGTGACTATAAAGCGGAGCTAAGGCAGCATAATACTCACATCAACAATAAAAAGGCAAACATTCAGTGGGCACATCTGTGTTATCCTACCTTTCTATTTTTATGAAAGAGGAAATTCAAAATTTTCACATGACCTATGTGTAATCTACTTGTAAAACTCTCTAGTGGCCTCCTTTTTCTCTAGTGGATAATCCTGAAAAAGAACTAAGGAATAACAGAGTGGTTCCACATTTCTGAATCAACCCCACTTCTTTTATAATTGCTGCCAGAAGAGCAAAACAGGAAACAGCCTCATGCCTACGAGGAGGTGCAATCATAACAGTCCTTTGGTAATATCTTTCAAACAGCGTTGAAGCTATTTGCATACAACTCAACTTGAACTTCAGTTGAGTTCTAGCTACAAAAAAAAAATAAAAAAAATGTTTCTTCGGTGATACGGTATTTCATTTCTTTAAAATAAACCCATTCATACAATTGCATGAAAACTTTTTTATCTCCTATTTTGCTGGTGTCATAGCTCTAATTTAAAACTGAGATACCATGCAGTGACTTTTTGTTCCCCCTTTCCAACAAGCAAACTAAAATGGCAACATTCAAGTGCTTCCACATGTCGGACATTCAATGTGGTACCCCGTAATTTGACAAAATTTCACTTTCCATTGTGTTATTGTGACTTTTTTATTATTTTTCACCACAGTGTCTGAAACAGATCTTTGTATTTGTGAAAAATGGGATGGTTTCATGTTGAGGTCAGCCACTTGCTATAAATTACTGCCATTTTCCCCCCTTCTTTTCCTTTTTTTTTTTTTTTTTTTTACAAAGAAGTTCAAATCTGTTTGCAACTGTGAGACAGAAGAGCTCTTAGGCAAAGAAGCTTGTCTGTGTTCTGCAGCAATAATATTTCAAAGCTGTTGTCCCCTGCGGTTATAAAGGGTTCAGTCAATTCATGTTAGCAAAGGTCAGGTCCATCTGGAGTGGTGTTTACATTCTGTGGTAGCCTCTTTCCTCAGACATCATCTGGTGAATGGTGTCAGACACACTCGAAGTCCTACAGTCTCGTCCTAGTACAGCTGGCATTCCAGCCAACCTACAATACTTGGCATGCGAGGAATTTTGCTCTCTCCATTTAAAACACAGAGATGGACAAAAGAGCAATTGATTATATTATTCATGCTTCTTTGTCTTTTTGGTTGTATTATCGTTACAATATGTTTTTTGTTTTTTTTATTTGGCAACCATAACTTCAAATAGCAAAGTTAAGTCAGTGTTTTAGCATTAAGAAGAGCCACTTGCTTATTTTCTACAAAAAAAAATATTTGAATTCATCCTATGATGTCAGTCTGAATGTTTTTTTTTTTTTTTTTTTTTTACATGGAACACAATGCGTGCAGATTACAGTTGGCAGACCTGAGGTATTCATGAGCATTATGAGGCGAGCATCACACTTTGAGCAGACGTCAGCTCTCAAATTATAAGGTTGCTTTGCTTTGTCATTGCTGCCTCTCACTACTAACTGCCATATTTACTCCAGTTTAAACTGGCAACCTTCATTTAACGTTAACTGTCACAACAAGGTGTAACAACTGCCCTTCAGACACATAGGTCCATTTGAATTGTTATCCACCTCACTGCCAAATGAATAATAGATTTAAAAGTAGCTAGTTGGATCCCTGAGATGATCTGAATAATATTTGTTGATCTTCATGCAATGATTTAAAGTATTTCATTTGAACTCAAAGGTTGAAACTTTCAAGATCCTAGACAGAAAAATCAAAGTTGAAATTCTGCAGTGGAGAATCATCCCTTGTTCGGGCTGATAGGCTGCTCTGATGGTCTGCTCTTCTCCTTCCTGGATTAAAGGGAACCATTTCCTGGGTCGGGGTGTGGGTGACCCCTCTGTGGAGACGTAATCTGTACTTAGGAGTAAAGAGTGTGTATGGGGAATGAGACTGTGTGTAGCATCTATTTTTGTGTCTGTTTACACTGGGTGAGTGGGTGTGAATTTCAGTGTGTGTGCATGAGTGTGGGAACATGTCATTACGTCTGTGTGTGTCTGTTCATCTGTCAGGTTGGGTTTTGGGCTGCTCCCTTCTTCTGGATCATCTTGGGCCCCCCACCACATGTGGGGGACCCAAAGGCCACTGCATTCGTGGCTCTCGGTGTCCGAAGCTGGGCGTTCGGGTATGTGTGGCTCGGCCTGGTGATGACTTGGCTGGAACTGGCCATCCTGGCTATGTTGTGTGGTGTGCCCTCGGGGCTCGGGTCTTAGTGTAGAGGGTGTAGCAGGTTGCCAGTGGAACCTCTGTACACACATTGTTGCAGTCCTGGGGTCTCCCAGTCCAGGGGAGCAGTTATCTCTTCCATGGTAATCCTCCGTGTTCATATAGGCCCTCTGGATATTTGTGGCTCAGGTCTTCCTCATGTTCTCCTTGAGGGGAGGTCTGTGGGCTGGTAACTGATCATGATGAATTAGTCAGGTTTTCCTGCATCGTTTTTTTTTTTTTTTTAATAAATGACAATATGGTGAATCTTTGATATGTGATTTTATACTCTTGACAATATATTTAACCCCTTATATAGCTTAATAATGCCCTATCATTATTATGTTAAAAACTCTTTATTGACATAGGAGTTACATTATTTACTTATTACTTTTGGAGCACAATAGCTGGCTATTGAGAAAGACAACAATTTCCTAACTCTTACTAAAATTGCACTTTCCTGCAAGGTGCTTAAACTATTGGCATAGTCAAGCTACAGTTTCTGACTAATTTATTGTGACAGGCAAGTTAACATTAATAATCGCTCTAACGGTTGTACCTATACACTCACAACCGCCTCAAGGAATCTGGAATGACCTTTCAAAGAGGTTGAATATCAGCATGCTCTGTGAGCACTGGTAGGCAGGCACTGGTCACGCAATCAGATTACTGCACACAATAGACACTGCGTGGGCTTCTATGCTCCAGACCTGCACTCACACACAGACACAGTCTTTGCCCCAAAGGGACGAGGACATAATAGGGTACATCATCCATTCTGACAACAAAGCCCAGTGATCGTACACAATTAAGAGCAGTTGATTGAATTATCTCATAGGTCTGACTCCAACCACTGAGAGCATTTTGCAGTCACCAGATCATAAATATTAAATTTGGGCTTGTGTATGCACTGAAGCAGTGACAGGGAGTGCGCCGTTTCAAGGAGCACCTCCCTTCCCCTGTCCACTCCTCTCCCACCCTTCCACAGAGGCAGCCTATGATGTAATGCTACTGCTGCTGATAGAGCAGCCCCCTCTCTTGCCTTTTTTTTTTTTTTTCATATTTTCCTCCCCTCCCCTATCCGATCTGCTTCTGCTGGTGCTGATCTCACCGGCGATGATAGTAGCTGTGGATGCATGCGTGCGGTGCCGGCTTAGCCGCATCCTTGGGCATCTCTTGAGCACCTCTTGGGATTCCTATGGAGCTTCTTTTCCTCTGTCACCACTTGCAAGAGAGAACCTCCAACTGACCTTGTCCTCTGCTGATAAAAGGTAATTCAGCTGGCTAATGACAGAGATTAATTGCAAAAGGAGAGGAAAGAGAAGGAAAGAGTAAAAGAATGATAGACAGCAAGGTTGACGGAGTGTGCAGTTAGCTGCAGAGTAAATTGTTCTGCTTCTTGTCGCCTTAGTCCTGGATGCCATAGCAATTGCTCTGTCAGTGTGCGTGCATGTAGTATGGTGTTCGTTTCCATGGTAAAGATGAGACAGATTCCTGTGCTGGCATTGTGGAGAGCTGCAATTACCTTTTAGTGTGGAATGATTTCTCATCTCTTGTGCAGCGGCTTGGAGATGTCGGACAGATTTCACTGACATTTTTCAAGATCTCTTTCACTTTTTGAACCAAAAGGAGTCTGTTTCTATTAGGTTATAATTCGTTTTACTTTCTTGGACCATATGGCTGACTTTGACCTGCCTGCTCTGCAAAAACTGGGCGTGTACAATGAGCGTCATCTAGCCAAGATGAGTGAACCAGTGGTTGCTTTCTGCATGCAGATTTTTGACTGTCATGGACAAGAACAGAGGTTTACAGTGTATCACTTGGATGCTGAGTCAAACACTTCCCTAACTTAAGGTGTTTGGATTTAACGCATGATTCTAAATTGTTTTTTTTTTTTTGTTTTTTTGTTTTTTTTTTAATCTACAGTGTGCCTTTATTTCCAGGAGTTTTCCTAACCATAACTCATGCTCTAAATCAAATGGTAAGTTAATATTTTATGTCTCAGTTGCCTCACATGTAGATGCCCTTATAACTAATTCATCCTCAGGATCTTCCCTATTTTAATCACTGCTCGTCTGTGCTTCTTTTCGTTTAATTGTAGCCATTCATCTTACTGGGTCATTTCCCAGAGTGCACAAACCAGCAGGAGGATAATGTTTCCCTTTATTTGTAATTGGTATAAGGAACCAATAATTATCTAATTGAAATTGTCAGTGTCCCATTGGGATCTGGATCTGTCTGTGGTGAGGAGTCCTGAGTAACCAAGATCCATGAAACACTCAGTGATTGTTCTTTAAGGTTTTCTAGTTTTGCCGTACTGGGGAATAGTAATACTGTCTACACAGAAAGGTTTGTAAAGTACAATAATTCAAGGTATGTTAGGATATTTTAGGGTATTTTAATTGATTATTTGATGTTAATTTGTACTTTTCAAATGTCAAGGTAGACTTTTGTGGAGGTCCTTTCTCACAGCAGTTCTGTCATCCACATTAGCAGCGTTACCTTTTATAATCCCATTTCAAATGTACTGCATTCACTGTAGCTCTCATTTTAACCCATAGATGTCGCCACAGAAACAATCTGCTTCTCTTCAACAAGTGGTACCTAAATAAGAATCTAGAAAAAAATAATTTTTAATCTAAAGCCTAACCGTGTAATACTATGAGGCATTGTTTTAGTTGAACCTTTATCTTTGGATGGGGTTTATAAAAAAATGTTTCTCGACTTTTACTGAAAACGAATCGCATGTTTGATTAGTCACCATTTGATTATTATTTTTCTAGCCGATTCACCATTTGATTATTGTTCTTTTGTGACCACCTTATTGTGAAGCGACTGCAGCTAACTTTGTGCAGTTACGTTTTCCATGGTGAAAATTGCCCTACAGGCTGTGTTCCAAATGATCTTTCAAAGACCTATTTGACACTTTTGGGTTGAGCACTCTTGTGTTTGATTAACATGTTGCTCTCATTAGGCTGTGTTCCAGGGCTTTTAAGCACACTGTTGTCCAGCCTCTTATTAAAATGCAAAGCCTTGATCCAGCTGTGCTGTCTAACTACAGAACAATGTAAATGTTGAAGGTTTTAGCAAAAATTTGTTTCTATTCAACTTCAAAGATTTCTAATCACCTTCAACATTTATGGAAAAATTCCAGTGTGGTTTTTGACCACATCCCACTACTGAGACATGCCTTTGAAGAGTTTTTAATTACAATAGCTTAATTGTTGACTTTGGAAATTCTGTTTCATGCTTTTGGTCTGACATTGTGAATTACAATATGTTGCTTTCATGACTTGAATTTGTAATTGACACTATAAACCTTGCTGTCGACTGCTTTAAATCAATCTGAGAAATAAGAGCTTCTCAGCAGAGTTTAGGACATTCCCCATCTGGAGCAGAGCGGCACAAAACAGCACAGTTTGATGCGGCTACATCTGTACACATTGCATGTGCCTTTAACAAACATTGTATGCTTCATGCTAAAGTGTGACAAAACAGAATAGACCAGGGGTGTCCAAAGTCAGTCCTAGAGGGCCCGCATCCTTCACGTTTTAATTCTCTCCCTGGTGGTAGTAACTACCTTTGCAGCTTAATGGCTCATTATAGGCCTTATAATGAGCCATTATTTGATCCAGGTGCGTTAAACCAGGGAGAGAACTAAAACATGTAGGATGCCGACCCTTGAGGACCGACTTTGGACACCCCTGGAATAAACCAATATTTCTGTGGATTTTATTCAAATACAATTATCTACTTCTGCCAGCAGATGGCTTTTCAAATGAAACATTAATACATTGCTTACTACACTAAAAAATACACTAAATAAAGCATGTGGTTGGTGTACTGAGCACCAAGCAAATGCTGCTAGTGTAGGTTGCTTCACTGAAAATGATCGGGACATATATTTCAAAAGAGGATCTGATACCACAACCCTGAGATGCCCTTTATGGTCCTGTTCTTAAACTGCTTTTCTCAGTTGTTTAAGATTTGGATGTAGTGCTTCCAAGCCCTTTCAAATTGGGAAAAACTGGTTAATTATATGCAAATTCCAAGTCATTCTAAATGCTACGAAATATTTACACATTAAAGAACTGGAAACACTTAATACGTTTATTTCGTCACAACTGGACAGAAAATAATGATCTGTATTTTGGTTTGAGTCAGTCATCTCCTCACCAATTCCAGACTGTACAGAACTAATATAATAGCTAATATTTTAACAGGCACTACAAAGCAGAAACACATCATTTCAATCTTGTCTCCACTCACAGGCTAATTACAAAATTTTTACATCCATACTTTAATACTTACTCATGTTCTCACCACCCACACCAAAACAGCACCCACACACACCAGGTAGTTTCTTATTTTGCTGTTGTTTAAAGCTCATTTTCTTTCACCTGACTTGAATAGGAGGCTCCTGCATTCATAATCCGTCGTATTAGCTTCCTTTCAGCATACGCTGATTTTACAATCAACTTTAAAATTGTGAAACTTAAATATACTTGACATGGACAGTCATATTGAGGAATCAATACCAACACACAACTGCAGCAGAAGACGTAATGCAAGAAGAACATATAATCAAAAATGTTGTCAAGGCATTTAAAGTAGCACTGTTACTATTTCTATATCCAGGTCCTTGCTGTATTACCACTCAAGACAATTTTTGTTGATTAGTGGCAATTTTTGATTTGAAGATGGCAAGTAATTAAAGTAATGTTGTGTTAAGTGTAAGGCTTGCTCATTAATAAAGAACAATAGACATGGAAAATAAAGATAAATATTAAAATGCAAGGGATTTTCAAGCCCTGTTTCTCTAAATCCCATGTAATTCCCTGTGCGTCAGATATCAGAAAGTGAGACAGTTAAGAGTTAAGTGTTGACTGAGCTCAGCTCTTATGTGAGAAAAGGAAGAGGCAATTGATTTTATGTCAAATTTCACTTAATGAGACTCCTAAGACCTTCTGGCAGTCAAAGATTATCAGTGTGATGTAGGCCTGCTGATTTACATCTTATAACCTGGAAATGTCTTTTTTTTTTTTTTCCCTCTATGCTTTCTGTCAATATTCATTGAAAATGCATAATGGATTTTTACATCGTCTCTATGAATGTTGGTGTCAGACCATACCAGTCCAGAAATTAGGGATTTTTTTTAAATTGGATATTCCTAATTTATTTACAACTTGGGAACATCTGCTGCATCCTATACTCTGAACCCGATAAGTTGAAGTTTTAACAAGAAATTGCCAATAAACCATTAAAAGACAAAGGTAACCCTGTATGAATTTAGATTATGTCCATCTGTTTGTGGTTGTGTTTTCAGCCAACAATGTGTAACTAAGAAGAGCAGAAACATACCAAAACATATGTGATGAAATCATTTCAGAATTTGAAAACCAAAATTTATGAGGGTGAAATAGCAACTTTGGTACGGAAGCGCATTGCTATCATGCAGTAAAAAAAAAAATTTCGATCGCTATCTCGTTTTAACGACTTACGTATCTCGTTTTAACGACTTACGTATCTCGTTAAAACGAGATACGTATCTCGTTATAACGAGATAGCGATCGAAATTTTTTTTTTACTGCATGATAGCAATGCGCTTCCGTACTTTGGCCCTTATTAAAAGCAAAAGGGAACCTTTGAACTTTGGAAAAAATGATAAAAACTATTGAATATCCTGACATGTACAGCAGTTCACTGCTCCTATATCTAAGTTTAAAAGGTTATCTGAAATTTTGTCAGGTGAAAGACATGGCATGATGGTTACATTTTCAGTATCTTTTTCAAACGTCTGTAAACTCTTTTACAGGTTTTATCAAGCATCCAAAAAACATTTTTTTTTGTTTACTGAAATAGATGGAAGATACCAAGATTTTTTATTTTATTTAAAAAATCTGAAAAGTCAAGCATTAATTTACATTCACCCATCCTACTCCAATAGTAAGTAAAATGTGTAACGGATCTTTAACAATGATGTAACATCGTAGATTATAAGAGGGCTGATTGAAAGTGGCATAAAGAAAGCATTACCTCTTGAGGATTGTGGATTAAGTTAATCTCAACTTGCATTTAAAATGTGTTTATGCTTTTCTGGTGATCTGGTATACCCTAAAGAGGAAACCCCCCCTCATAAGTTTATAGCTTTGTCTTCAATTAACTATTACAAACACCGGCTTGTGAAAAAAAAAAAAAAAAAAACTACCACAGTATAATCAATTTCACAGCTTTACTTTATGACATGAGCTGCGTGCTTTGAGAGAAGGGAAAAAAGAGCCGAGCTGTCTCAGTATGGAGGAGGTGTATCTGTGTGGGGGAGGCAGACCTGAGTTGGAAATCGCAGACGAGTTGAGCCGCTGCCACGGACGTGGTGGGCCACCTGAGGAGCGCTCGAGCTGTTCCTCTTGCTCCGTTGAATTTCAAACAAGCCCACTTGCTTTTGGAGAAGAGCCACTTGCTCTTCTTGTATGACAGCATGCTGATCTGATAAACTGTTTAGCTGTCTAATCTATCAAATGTACTGTTCTGCTAGCTAGTGAAACAGACAGTATATGGAGCAACAGATACATATTGTGAAAGAGCGCATGATGTTAGAAGTCATACAGATTGCATGAGGATGTGGTGAACTTGTGACCGGAGGGCAGGGAACTTTAAAGGCAGTTTCACACTTAGTAATATTTAGATAACGTTGAGAAATCCTGGATGAATCCAACCTCCTTAATACAAGACAAGCCATGATCTAAATGCCCATAAAACACATACTGCCAAGGGTTGGATCACTTTCCTGCCAGAAGGCACGAGTCCCACAAACCCATTCTGCTGGAAGCTTCATGGAGGAAAAAACTAAAGCTTTTTGTTGTTTTAGACCAAGCCAAGGTATCACAACTTCTCTATTTCAACAAACAGAAAACCCCCTACAAAACTCACATCATCCTCAGGCTTCAGTATGTGTGAAGGGAAGATGATTGATCATATGCC